CGCGCACACACACACACACACATGTGGTTGAAAGTATTATAATTACAGTATGAAAGATACTGTAATTAACTTACTCGTTGATTGATAATTAGAATAAACTTTAATATTAACAACTTGAACTGAGTCTGACCGGTCGCCAGCCAGAATTGATATCGGCAGTACAGACAAAAGAAAGAAACAAAAAACAACAATACATACGGTAAAAGAACGCGATAAAATGTTACATATGTCGGTCACAAATTTTTGGCAATATTCACAATTCCTTAGTCGATATTCGGAAAAACACAGAGACATGATATTCGATCTTTCAGAATCACACGCGCTGAGAGACTATAACGAACGGACGAGATTGACGCACAAACAAACAAAAAATGAAAACACGACATACACGAATGACGAGCCAAGATAAGGCCGGATTGTTGCGAGTGACTTGAATCGGGCGGGTGGAAATCAAAGATCCTCTTATCTCCGAAAAAGAAGTTGAAATCAAAACATAGTGGTCACTCGTGCGAATTTAAACATGATAGCGCAAAACCGATAGCGAATTTGAAACAAGAGATAGTTAGGCCGATTTGGCCGGCGCCGGTGATTGCCAGCTTGCCTACTCCGTTCTGGTCAAGGTGGAAATTTGATTGTTCACCGAGGAATTGCAGCAAGTAGTAAGTGGAAATAATAGTATTAGTGCGATAAGACAACCGGATTCCATATTGAACTTCAAACTTTAATCCTCTGTTTCACTTGAGGCGATTATTATCCGGAACATTTAATTGCGTTAAGCTGGCACTTCTCATTTCTGCTTCTGTCGGATTAGCGACTCACGGTCTTATGAATCGTTCCGAACCGCTGCCGACATTCTTTTCCGACATTCTTTTCCGGCCTATTCTCTGTGGTGCTAAACAACGTAAGCTAAACCACGTTCTGGAAGTTAGTTGTAAAATTATTCAGTATTAGTTAATAAAATAGTAAATTATATAAATTACGTTTTTAAGTGGAATCCTGAAAGTATCTGAAATCTCGAAACGCAATTATAACAAGGCGCAACTGCCACAACCGGGCTCTTCGGCGCAGAGACGCTGCCAGCCGAAATAACCACAAACCAACGAAATTAATAATAAGCCGAAAGAACCACCAGATAGCAATTGTCAAAATTTACAACACACACAGACACATTCGACTCCACATCGGACTCAGCCGCCTCCCCTTTCTCCTGCGCCTTCGCCACCCTCTCCGTCTCCATAACCTCTTTTAGAATCTCCATCGTATTCTCCAGTAGCTCCTGGAGAAATTTCTGATCCCTCCTCTGACCCTTCCTTGTCACCATTCTCTCTCTTCTTCTCCCGAATCATCCGAATCTGAAATTCTGTCAGAAGACAAAAAAGACTCTGTACCTCGCCAATTGCCACATTTTATATTGCTTGCTAATTCTTTTCCTGTCGCCGACCCTCTTCCTTCGAGAGGAATAAGTTAATCCTTGACCTCCGAAGGAAATTCCCTAATTCTCTCCGTCATGCCGTTACTACTCTCTCCTCTGATAACAATATTCTAGTTACATTTCCTGGTTTCCCCGAAATCCGCGAAGTTTCTATAAATTAGTTTTACCGATTTTATCCTCGTCCCTCAGCTATAATAAAGGAAATAATAGAAGTAACTTTGGACGACTGAGTCACGTTACATACATACATGTAACACACACACACGTTCATGTGTACGTAGACACCATACACCCGTAGAACTTACAGCGACCTATGTAAAACAGTAAAGAATAAATAAAATGAATAAAAATGTCAGTAGAGTAGCATTTAAATAAAATTGGCTAAAGTTAATTAATCCTTAGACTTTACGTAACCATTTTCATTCTTGTCATCCTTTGATTGATCGCTAGGTTCCATCCCAAGTAATCTAAATTCGCATCTAAGACTCAAAAGAGAGCCGACGAGTGAAAAGCCGTTGAACAAGCAATAGCGAGAACTGCTCGTTGGCTTGTTTACGACACCAAAATCTCACTCGACCCGCGCACTTGACTCGCATATCTCTCTGGGTCACTGTGCCGGGAGTAGACACACAAAGTGTCATGTGTCAGTTACGTCACTCCTCAAGGGACCGTTACCGTAGGCCGGGACGTAACAGTAATGATCTTAAAGCTTTTCGCCTAAGACGACGTGACAGATCCACCAAAGAATGGGTTGACGGTCTGCCTGGAACTGGCCGGGGAATCAGTGCCGGAAACCCTTCTCATCCTAAGAACGGTTAATCCCGTTCAGCCTTACATTCCAACGGTTCGAATATGCTTTAATTGTGGCCGTTTCGGCCACATAAGCAAGTTTTGCGAGAGCGACGCTCGCTGCCTCACTTGCGCAGGCAGTTACAAAAGCAATAAGGATAATCCATGCATCAACGCTACACTATGCGTCAACTGTAAAGGAGTCCTTGCTACTCTGGACCGGTCCTGTCCGATGTACAAGCGGCAAATAGATATCTCGAGGGTCATGGCGTTCGATAACCTTCATTTCTTCGAGGCTCGAGTCGTAGTTCTTCGCGCCGAAAGAAACATGAACATTCTTGCGCCGGTCAAGACTCTGAAGAATTTTTCCCCTCTTCCTAATTGCGGGGGAATCATCTTGGTGAACTCGCCAGTCGCCACTGGATCGGCTAATTCGGCAGCATAGACATGGCCACCCGGAGCCCGATTCTGTGGGGAGAAAGTCAAAGAACGCGTACTATGGTGGTTATCCTGTTCGGTCCTATTTTATGACGCCCCTGGGCAATACACAAACTCGTGCACAGGAACTCTATAATGAGTCGCACATTAGAACACGCAATATCATTGATCGCGTGTTTGGATTATGGAAGAGACGGTTTCCAATTTTGGCACTGGGTTCCCGATTTTCTAAAGTCGAAAGAGTACTACCAGTTATTGTAGCAACTGCCATATTACATAAAATTGCCCGGCGTGCTGGAGATCTATTACCACCAGATGATCCTGCGTTACAGTTACTTATGCCGTGGGAGGAAATTTTGGAACAGGGAAATGTACCACTTATGAATAATGCACCTGGTAATGAGCATATGCGGAACATATTGATCAACGATTATTTCCGTAGGTAAGAATAAAAATGTCTTAGACAAATTATTTATGTATTTTTCTTATATCTAGTAATATGTAAGTATGGTATTATTGTTCAGCTTGCTGTAGAGTAGAGAACCCGTACTGTGAAACAATCTGAAGAATATACTGAAATATTATATATTTAGCATGTTCAAATTTGTATTGTACATAATTCATAAAAAAAAGATCAAAAGTTTTTTGCAAATGTGAAATGTAAAAGAGGTTGCTTTTTAATACGTAGGCTTGCATAGTTATGCACAAAATCATGTACATTATATAGTATCTTTTTATACTTGCAGTTTATTATTTTATACTCACACATAAATAATATTTATACTTATATATCAATATTATTGTGTATTGCATAATATTATTTTTATACATGCATTGTAATATATTTTAATAAACGTGTACCTTGAATTATTATTATTTGATTATTTTATTATTCTTTTATACTTCCTGCATAACTTGTAAGTAAATCTAGAAGTAAAGTGTCAGATTCACTGTATTATCACGCTGCTTAAAGTAACGAATACATGACTCTCACTAGTAATAATGCAATAAGTTTTTTAATTCACATTCAGACAACATCCCACGCATATGTATGTAAAATTACAATTAAAATTACTATACAGTTATCACGAAATTAAAACTTTTATGTACGTACCAACAAAGAAATGTGTTATAAATAAACTTACATAAAAATAATAAAGTTAATTCTCATATGATTGAAATTGTTTTTTCAGAAGTTCAACTTCTAGTTGTTCTTTTTGTAGTTGTGTTTTTAAAATATCTATTTCTATTTTAGATTTTGCACGGAGATCTTCTTTCATTAACTCGACTAATTCAGTTTTAGATTGAGCTAAATCATAAAAACATTGGTTGCGTCTTACAGCGCTTATTCTCGTCTGTTTTCCCCGCTTTACAGTCTTTTTTTTGCAGTCAAAATTGCAGGATTTCGATTTTCTTTTGACAATGTTCTTATAGCCTCTACTTCAGCATATGAACGAAGATCCGAGTCTGCATTTTCTTCATTGTCGTATGGCGGAACTTGTAATTCAGTACTCTTCTTTGAACGCAATATTGCCGGAGTCCAATCAGTCCAATTCGGTGTCACATATTTTTGTTTTACAATCAAACTTACAGGGTTTCGATTTTCTTTCGACGATGTTCTTGTAGCTGTCTCTACTTCAGCATATGAAAGAAGGTCCGAGTCTGCATTTTCTTTATTGTCGTATGCCGGAACTTGTAATTTAATACTTTTCATCGAATGCAATGTGTCGAATGCCGGAGTGTAAGTGTCAGTCCAATTCTGTGTCAAATATGCTTCATCGAGTGTCTTAATAAACATATTATAATTAGTATTATTTTTGTATAGTAATATATTTCGAACTTTACAAATGCCATTGTCAATGTACCTCAACCTCAAACACATCGTCATTGTCGCTTGTATTCTGATTCACATTTCCGTCATCTAGGTCTACAACAATAAAGTTACGATTTGTCTAGATGTTTAAGATTCTTTTTGAGAATTAAATGCTAAAGGCACTCATACATTATGCAATGTATACAATCTACCCACACAGAACAAAAACTCCATTAGACATACATTAGACATCAAAAGCTCTATGCGATATCTAATAGATGTCTAATGAAGTTTTTGTTCTGTGTGAGTATGTATTCTCAAAGCATATGAAATATATACCTCCTACATGATCGCTGTCAAATGGATTCTTTAAACCATCGACCGATGGTTGAATAATAGATTTGACTCTTTCGGCTATCGGGTCATCAGAAACAGTCATCTTTCCGCCGCCTATATGCCAATTATTAATTACTCATTATTATTATACATGTATGCATTTACGAACATATACTGACATATAAATATACAATAAATAATATACAATCAACAAAACTTAATTATATACGATACCTGTTGCAAAAACTTGTTTGCGTATTTCCGCGAAATGTTGTCGAGTTTTTTTTTAAGTTGTCCCAGCAATGTTTTAGCGACGTCACATTTCGGTTTGATTGTATGCATCTGCTATTAAACTCACGGCTTATGTCTTGCCAGCACTTCTCTTTTTCCTTAATAGTAACAGTGTCCGTATGCTTGTTGTCAATTATACACTTTTTTTTCTACTATTTCAATTAATATAATTTTAACATCAACAGGAAGATATAAGAGTTTTAGTAAAATTACATTTTCTTTATGCATGCAAAAGCTTAAACATTGTACCGCCACATGTTAAAAGCGTTGTAAGGTTGCGTGAGTTGAGGTTTTGTAACCGTTCTCTCGTGCGTAAGTTGTCTTATTTTGAGACCAAATTTATAACTAAAATTGTTAATATTGAGATTCGCGATGCTCATTACTCTCTGATGATTCTACGCCGTGAATTGTTTTCAATTACCAATTATCTTTCGTCTACACTGCCTACGAATTGCTGGAACAAATTTTTTGTCACGCAAAAAAATTCTCTTTGCAGGTTTAAACACTTTGAATTTGTCAAAATCGACAGAAAAATTGCTTGGCTCAAAAATAAAAAAAGATCGTGTATTAGAAATCAAATCAATAACATTTCTTATTATGTCGTTCGCCCATCTGATAGTGACATTAATGCTAATAACTGTGGTTCTTTTAGCTTCTCTTTCAATAAACCAAAATTAGTTGATTCGTCAAGAGTTGAAAAAGTTAACATTGAAGCATCATCCTTTGATAATGAAATTGATATTATGAGCTTGAGGAAGAAATGGTTCGTCAATCTAACGTCGGGAAACATTCCCGATGTGGTTTGCGACCTTCTTTCTTTAGGTGAGAGATTTAGTTTGCCATCTCACAATTTAAAAAAATTGACGGTTATGGAGACTATCAAGGATGTTGAGAACAACATTAGACGTATAAATGTTGATCTAAAATCACATATACGTCTTCTCACCGCTTCTACTCTTGAACGATACTTAAATAGTCAACCCCCTCTAAGCAACCTTGACAAGGAGTTACTTGAAAGTAAAAAACTTACAAGAAATTTTATGAAAGATCATCCGGATATCATTTTCACCAAAGCGGATAAGGGTGATGTCACGTTGCTTTGGATAAGAGCGGTTATATCTCAAAAATCGAAGCAATGCTGAGTGATAAGAATACTTATGACAAGTCAAAGATAAGGAACCCTGCAAAGAGAACTGAAAACAAACTTAATGAATGTTTGAAGTCGTGGTGTAGTGCGAACTATATAAGCAAAAATAAATATTATTCTTTAATTTGTAATGACAAACCTCTTCCTAGAGCCTACGGTCTTCCAAAGGTCCATAAACCTGGTAATCCTTTCAGGATTATCGTTTCTTGTACGGACACTACTCTTTATAAGTTCGCCTCCTTCTTACAAAGAGTTTTATATAAAAACTTACCTCANCCACGTAGTTTTATCCGTAACAGTTTTGAACTCTATAGAGGTTTGTCAGGCATGCATATGCGTGATGCGGACGTATTGTTTTCACTTGATGTTGTCTTGCTGTTCACCAACATTCCGTTAGACCTGGCTTTGGATGGTGTAAGGAAGAGGTGGGATTGCATTAAGGATCACACCAAAATTCCGTTGTATCCTTTTATTCGAGCCCTTGAATTTGTCTTATCTTCAACCTTCTTCGATTTCAATGGTACTACTTACCAACAAACCTATGGAATTCCCATGGGATCGCCTCTTTCGCCAATTATTGCCGACATTGTCTTACAAGATCTTGAGACTCATTGCCTGAATTCTTTAAACATAACTCTTCCTTTTTATTTCCGTTATGTTGATGACATCCTAATGGCAGCTCCGAGAGAGCATATTGATCTCATTTTCAATTGTTTTAACTCCTACCATCCGAGGCTAAAATTTACCATTGAAATCGAGGAGGGTAGATCAATTAACTTTTTAGACACTTCAATATCCGTGATAAACAACAAATTGTTACTAAATTGGTATCACAAACCAACATTTTCGGGCCGTTATCTAAACTACTTTTCGCAGCATCCATTGAATCAAAAAATAGGAATTATTTACGGTATAATAGACAGAGCAGTTCTCCTTTCACATCCGTCTTTCCATAAAAAAAATTTAATAAAAACAATCCAATTTTTACTAGCCAACGATTTTCCTTTAGACTTTATTTTTAAAATTGTAAGAAGGAGATTACATTATCTCTTCTCAAACAAACTCAATGTGATGAATGGCAAGTCAAATCTAGAGAGTGAACGCCTGAGTGGTGTGAGAGGTTACTTTACTTTGCTATTTGTTTCGAGCACTACTGATTCTATTTCTAAGTCGTTAAAAAGAAATGATTTCAAGCTCTCTTTCAGAATTTTAAATACATTAAGGTGCTTCATTAAAGTCCACAAGGATGATCTTGGTCATGACTCATTATGTAATGTTGTTTACAAAATAAACTGTTCATCTTGTGATGCTTCATATGTTGGACAAACTAGTAGACAATTACGTACTAGAATTTCTGAACATCATAAAAATATTTATCTTAATCACAACCGTCAATCTGTTGTAAGCAAGCATCGCGGTGAGTTTGGTCATGACTTTTTGTGGAACGAAATTGAGGTTTTAGACACGGAGCGTTTCCATCAGAGAAGATTGATTTCTGAAATGTTGAACATAAAAATGCAAAAAAACGGCATAAATTCAAATACGGATACTGAATTATTAGATCCGGTTTATACTTCCCTGATCGAGAAGTTCGGTAGTTAGTCACGTGGGATGCCTCTCCTGCCGCTTTGACGGTTTTGTCTTCCTTTCTGCCGGCTACCATTTTGACATTGCTTATTGTTATTTGATATGTTGANTGTAACGGTTGAGTGTCTGTGTGACTTGCGATTTGCTGCGCATCAGTCGGGAGTCAATTATGTTAATCTGTCAATTATCAGTAAGTTTTTTAGCTTTTTATTTTAACTTTAACTTACTTTGTTCATTGAGTTTAACTAATTCAAAATCGTTGACTTTTTATTATTGACTTTATTACAATTTTACTTTTTGACTTAATTGTTTACTTGACTTATTTACTTAATTGTTCTTAATTTACTTTGACTTAATCGTTAACTCGACTTGATCGACTTAATTTACATTATATTATTTGGTCTAGTAATCAGGGATGAGGAGATAACAAACGTCGATCTTCGTTTATTCTTGTTTTGACTCTCTGATTCGTAGCGTGTTGTTTGTCTGCAGGGCATCGGCCTTTGCAAGGTGTGTTTTGGTTTAATATTTATACAAATACGCTTTCTTTATCTCGATTATAACATCAAATCAATTTAACTTTTATAACTGATTTCTGCTTTGTAGTTTGGCTGAAGATGATCACAAATATATTGGATCGAAACGTCCCGTTTGTCTAAGTAGACACGTTTTACATTGGTTTATTTATTTCATGCCACCTACACCCGTGGATTGCAGCGGCTTACTGGTCTTGTTGTGTTTTTAATTTTATTATTAGCCGTTTCTTTATTATTACTAATATAATTTTTTCTTCAGTAGAAAAATTCGGCAACCGCTTTTTCTTAAACCGTTTTTTCATTTTATTTTAGATATGTGGATGATATTATCTTAACAGCACCTCCTGATTGTTTAACTTCACTTTTAGACATGTTTAACAGTTACAATAACAGATTACAATTTACTATTGAAGTTCAAAATAATGATTGTTTAAGTTTTTTGGAAGTTAATATTTTGAATTTTAATGGTAAAATAATGCTTGATCGGTTTCATAAACGTACTTTTTCTGGCAGATATTTAAATTTTTACTCTGCGCATCCGCAATCACAAAAAATTGGCACTGTTTTAAATATGGTTGATCGAATTATGTTATTGTCTGATCCTTGTTTCCAGCAAAAAAATTTTAAATTTATGATTGAGGT